TTGAACGACTGAGACGTTATAGTCATCAGACGTTAAATGCGTCTGTCGTATTTACCTTTTTCCTACTAGTTAAAGTCGTCTTACCAGCATGAAAACAGCCATTGCAATTAGGAGTTCTTCGATTAACGTTTTTAACATAATAACTAAGGGCCTAAATTCAAACGGCGAGAATTGTTGTCCTCAAAATGATTCTTTTTATTGGATGGTACAGTTAGGCTCCGTGCTTACTAGGAGTCTAGAGTCATAGAATCAAAGACCAAACCCAGCACAACACTCTGTAATATCAGTTTGCTTTGACCTTTGCCTTTGATCCTTGTTCGCCAGGATTCCTTGAACGAATAATTATGGCTGCCCCTTCCCCCCTATACAAATACAACTACACGTCTCCTCCAGCAAATGTACAGTAACCTTTGCTCTTTGCCCTTCTCTCTGTACAGGTGTTGGTATTGCTCGTCAAGCTCTCGAGGATCCAATACTAGGAGAAGATTCTGATTCTTACGCTGTGCAGATCAACGAACATCCAAATGCCTCATGCTCCAACACTAAGAACCGGCTTCAAATCAAGAGATCATCCAAACAACTTACTCACGCAAATATAGGCGTGCTTCTGAACTTGGATGAGCACTTTCTAAATTTGTACCTTAATGGTAAGATTCAGTGGATCTCGATTTATCTGGGTTGAGGCGGCAGAGGTAGGGTGGGGGGGAGGGGTAAGGTAGGAAGGGGAGTCAGTAGTAGGGTAATGTATTTGATTTGGTGCGTCTGCATCCGGAATTTTCTGGAGCAGGAGCCGATGAAAATGCATTTTTTAAAGTTTCCATACACTCACTTGAGGGTTTTTTTAAAAGCCCTATTTTCCAAATTACTTTGTACGATATTATTCTTTTCTCTATTGATCTTGGACCCCAATTGTACGCCTTGCATTGGCTCCTTTAATTTTTCTGTTTACTCGCACCGTCCCGAAATTACCAAGCTTAAATACGTCCCGGCCATATAAAGGAGTCAATGAAAGACACGGACGCCCGCTTCTCTTTTTTTCATCCAGGGATGTTACCTAGTTAGGTTTTGTTCCCATTCTTCATTTTCCTGTTCCCTGCGTTCTCGTTGCACGCTCCCCGTTTTAGTAACATCCCATCATCTAGAGAGAATAGCTCATTCTCTCTTGCCTCATCTTATTTTCACATTCTGTATTCTCCTCTTTCATCAGGGAAACTTTTGACTGATCCTTCCAGACCAAACGGACCAACATTTGTGGGTATAACAGGAGAGTTCTATCCAGCTCTAAGTCTGTACGGGACTAACGTCAAACTCACGGTTCACACTGGAGAGTCGTACGATGCTTGAACTCGAAATCATTGCACATAAGGTTTACGGGAAGGATTTGAGAGCCCATGGACTCTAGACATTCTTGTTCCCAGAGCCACGCCCTTTAGCCCAGCGCCACGGATCTAGAGTTGGCGCTTGCCAAAACGATCGCGGATCTGGCAACAAGAATGATTCCTGAGTTGAACAGAAACTTTACCGGGTTTAATAGTTCACTGAACCAGTTCCCGAAGCATTAAGACTTCCTTCTTCTGCAGTTGTTTTTAAGAGTGAACTCAAGGGGGCTCTTCCGTTCTCATTGACTGAAAACCTTGTCTTCAACGATTTCCTCCGTGATTTTCCCGGTACCAGTTAGTTGCATCGGGCGGGGCCTTTCATCCACTAGTTAGAACCAACTTCTCATGACCATCTACAGCCGAACCTCCCGTAAGCTACCACCCGAAATGCGAAAATTTAGCGGTCGCTTGCGGGAGGGGGTCGCACATGGAGGTTTGACTGTGTATTAACCCCTTGGAACAGGCCAATTGGATAGAGAGGACACCGGTTTTGAGGCCAGTATGCATTCATATGAATTAATGTACTAAGTGCTCATCGATCAGAGACGGTTATTTGGAGAGAATGACCTCTTGCGCAGACCTATAAAGAAGTTGGAAGCAAGAATGGATATCTGCATGATATTAAAAGAGAGTGGGACTGTATGCATGTTTTACCGAGAGCCATTTATGAGAGGAAAAGGCGAAAGCTGTACCACTCTTACGAGCATGTCTTAGAAAGAGGTCAGAAAATGGCGTGCGATTTGGCGTTACGGCAGCATGTTGCAACCTGTGATTTTAGACGTTTTTGTTGGGGCGGGGGCGGGAGGTTGGAAGTTTGTACTTGCACAGGCAGATCTGATATAATTGTCAACATGATCAGAAGTTGCCTATTCTTTGCACCAGAGTAAACACCTCCTTGGCCTTTTTTATGCTAGAGACGTTAAAGTCGTCTTATTTAACGTCTAGTATAAAAACGGCCCTATTCTGAACTCTGCCAGCAGGCCCCTTTGTAAAAGAGACTTGAAAAGCAAAAAACTAAAAACTAAATAATGATAATAATAAATAGGTGACAGACAGCCGAGGGTAGACGGAAAACTGTGTAAACTGGAAAAAAAAATTTTCGGCCCGTCCGGGGGAAAATTTTGCTGCTAAATCTGAAAATAACGCATGCAAATCACGCGTTTCCGTTCTTATATTCGACGGGAAAGTCATTTATAAGATGTTTTCTTTGTCTTAACCAAGACGCATCTTATCTAAGAACAGGGGTTAGGGGCAACCTTAACATCAAATTGCAAGCAAGCTTAACAATGGTAATTGCAAATTTATTGACAGACAACCATGCCTACAAAATATGAAACGACACAGACAATATGTAAAATGTTTCAACTGCATCAAACAAAACCAGACGAAAAATTATCTCCTGCTACGGAATCAGATCCCAGCAGGCTATCTGAGATACTGGTGGAACAAAGAAGCATATGATCAATACCATTAATGGCTGCTTAGAAGCCCTGGGCAGAGCTTAAAAATGGAGTTTTGACGCTTAAAAAAGTTTTTTGAATGGGATTCATGTTGTGATGAGGACTTGTTTGGTGTCTTGCAGAGTTGCCCTTAACTGCTTTTTCCAGCAGAATTGTCCAGCCACTATCTATCGGGCTAGCAAATTCTGTTCTTAACTTGCCCGATGGGCAAGTGAAGTTTTTTGGGGGATTTAGATTACAGTAGAGCTGCAATCAATAACTTTTTTCAGGCTAGTTAAAATGCCTCTTGGGCCAGTACATGCTAGCTACAGCTTGCCCAGATGGAAAGCTATTAAACTGACTTTCTTTGCACCTTGGACAGTGCCATTTACCCAGTCTTTTAATCAAGATGGCACTCTTTAGCCTTTAATAATTATAATTCCCTATATTTAAGGAATAAAATACAATATTATTGGATGCAGGTTTTGCAAAATCAAAATAAAAAGTTTTAACTACATGTAGTGCTGACTTAATCAGAAATTTGCATGGAAAAATAAAGAGAGGCCATCTCTGAAAACCCAGACTTAAACTTTCTTGGGGAGCATACCCCCTACACCACCCCCCCCCCCCCCCCCCCCCCC